CCGTGACCTGTGCTCGGAGACGCCTAAGAATTACACTTTCGTTTGTACAGCCCGGCGCTATCTTACATTTTCATTTGCCTTTTTCACAACATCCGTTTGTATGTCTTGGACGAGTTGTCGTGCTCGAGCCCTTTTTGTGATAAAACCCCATTTTATACAAAAGCTTAAAGGGCTTTCAAACCATTTGAAACAAATCGTTCAAGCAAGCAGTCTAGCATCGCTAGAAAGTCTTGGGGAGCCCATTCCAATTGTGGAGGACATGAGCTGAAATCAGCTAATTCAGCTACAAGTCCGTCCAGCGCCGTGGTGGCTGTCATGGACGCTGGTGCTGATGCTGGCGCGTTTGTGCCGAGACGTTGAGACGGCGGTGCAGCGGCGTCAACGCCAGGTGGGACGGCTACCTCACATTCCAAGTCGGATTCGTGCATTATTCCTTTTGTCCTTTTCAAGTAGGGTGGCGTGCCGGAAAGTGTCGTCAACCTGCTGTTGAAAATTATGGTGGCATGTCTGGTGACCCGGCGCTTACCTCATGAAGCCGGGCGCGAGATTGAGCATGGCCTTGACGTCACCGTTGGTGCAGAGGTCAGGGAAGCAGGTGCCGACGGTGACGCGGAAGCTCTGCGGGCAAGGATGCTGCCAGTTGTGGACGGTGGGCGAAATGCTGGTCGAAGCAACAAAGTCATTCTAACGATAGACTGAGATGTCTGGATATAGTCTTCGGTGCCCGCAAGGGAAATGACATCACAAAGTAACAGAATCAGTGGGACGAGGCACTTGCATCACGTATGGAGTCGTGGTTCGAGGCTACCGTCCTCGTCTCGCGTGTTGGCATGAACCCAGCGCTTCGGCTGGTTCATTCTCCAGCCGTCGTCAGATCTGAGTAGGTCTGAGAAGGAACTGTTGGTGTTTGGCTTTCAGGCATGTACGCATCACAACCCCAATTTTTCCTCGGGTTGCAGGGATTCGAAACAGAAGGTCTCATTTGAGTAGGTCTGAGAAGGAACTGTTGGTGTTTGGCTTTCAGGCATGTACGCATCACAACCCCAATTTTTCCTCGGGTTGCAGGGATTCGAGACAGAAGGTTTCGATTCGAGTCCTAGCGATTCAAAGGACGGAATTCGGTTCATGACGCGTAATTCGCTGAGATTCGAACTCCCTCCAGTCCTCCTAAAACTCAGTAACAACTGACGCGGCCGGAGAGTGAACTGGCCGAAATCCTGCATGCGTGTTAATCCACCATAAGAAGACGATGGCCGGGACACTTATTCCATCTTAAAATGACGTCATTCGAACTACCTGAGCCAGTCGTACATAAGCTGATCTCCAGTGTGTCGGCTGAAATCCACGACGCGTCTCTAGATTACAGCGCTGAAATCCGCGACACGTCTTTAGATTACAGCGCCGAAATTCACGACACGTCTTTAGATTACAGCGCTGAAATCCGCGACACGTCTCTAGATTACAGCGCTGAAATCCATGACACGTCTTTAGATTACAGCGCCGAAATCCACAACACGTCTCTAGATTACAGCGTAGATGTTGATGCCGATTCGTCTTTGGATAGAGTTTGCCAGGTTCTCTTCGCACGTGCCCTTATCCCGCGCATTATGCCGCCTTTGTCGGCAGCTCGATCCAGTCTTCCGGCTTGGAGCGGTGGACGAGTCAGTCGGGCACACACGAACCTGCTGTTCCTGCTCCAGAACACCGGACAGCAGGGCCTTGTAGTAGCGGCCCTTGATGTGGAACGGTGTCGTTGACCACGATCAGGTCGTGCAGCACGCTGTTGCACTGGGAAAAGCGGCCCTCCCAGAAGCTATTGCCGTCGCTGAAGCCGGACTCTGGACGGCCGTTGGAGTCGAACACTGTCGGGAGGTCAGGGGTTATCGGTCAAACACCGCGTAAGGTCAAACGACGTCGTTGTGTCAAGAGCGGAGGATCATGAACGTTTGCAGGGCCCTTCATCGGCCCCGCTCAGCTCGGGTGCCGAGTCCAGGACCATAGTCAGCATGTGCCATTCCGAAGCACGCAGAAGCAGGAAATGCTGTTATTTTGCTCACAAGAGAGGAATCACGGAGCGGAGACGGTTAGATCTAGAGCAAGGGTAATAGGCGCTGTATGCCTTGTGGGGTCACGAGTCATGAGATTGGCACTACAGGCAACTCCGGAAAAACGAAGCTTTCTTTTGCTTTTTGCAAAGATTCGTGGATATCTACACAGCTTTATGGGTTTGCTCTCCAGGATCTCGTCCAATCGAAACTACCAAACCTGAATGAAATCCGCCCGCATTTGCCTCTTCGAGGACTCTTAACTCAAGCCGGTCCAATTCAGCACAGAAGATGCCTGACTGAAAGTAACTTGGCATTCATCACAGTCCAGTCTAATCTACAAAAATGTGTTAAGTGCGGTGTGCATAGGCATGCTCAGTGTTTCGTGGCTCGTGACTGAACTTTTAAGTCAGATATCAAATAACAGTTGTCAAGCTGGCGTTTTCCACGTGATCATTGATGTCACCGATTCTGTAGAATAAAAAAATATTTGAACGGTTTGAAGGTTTTGAAGCACCGTTAACCTGGGACCCACATACTTACAGCCAGCACGAAACGAAAGAACGTGTTCTTACGAGTCATACAACAATGAACAAGGACATCAACTAACATACGAAAATGCCAAGGGCAAGGTTAGCTGAGGTCAAGGTCGGATTTCAATCATTCAGTTCCTAAGTCTGCTATTCACATCTTGTTTTGAAGCTAAACGTCTGCGTACGTCTCGGTTATACTGACCAACTTGTTACAAATGGAGGCAACTAATCCCTAGCGGTCACGACAAGAGGTAACACCCCAGGCGCCAGGCGGTCACGGCAAGAGGTAACACCCCAGGCGCCAGGCGGTCACGGCAAGAGGTAACAGCCCAGGCGCCAGGCGGTCACGGCAAGAGGTAACAGCCCAGGCGCCAGGCGGTCACGGCAAGAGGTAACAGCCCAGGCGTCAGGCGGTCACGGCAAGAGGTAACACCCCAGGCGTCAGGCGGTCACGGCAGGAGGTAACACCCCAGGCGCCAGGCGGTCACGGCAAGAGGGGCTTACATCAGCAAATGGTCGTGACGATGCGGCATTAGTTTAATCTTGAGATGCGCAGATGAAAATCGTGGCGGCACGATACGCTAGGGGCGTAGTTTAGGTATAGGAAGATCGCGCTGTCAGCAGAGCGCATGAACCGATCGTAGTTCAAATACTGTGCCACTGTTACCCCGCCCTTCTAGGCCTAGTCCCTGTAGCCAGTTAGAGACCCCAACGCCAGTGGCGGTGTAAGTTGGACGCTGAAGCAATCGATTTTACGCAGAACAGAGCCGAATAGCATTAGAATAGCGGACGAATTAACAACATTAACTTTTCGGAAACACGTATGCACAACAATGACCACAGATGACAGTGCCCGCATCTAGCTCACGAAAGGTGGCAGCACCACTGCAAAAACGCTCATCACAAGACCCTTTTCCTTGCCTGCAAAGGTGCTCTTTAATCTTATCCGATAATGATAAGCGGCGTCACTACACGCTGTGAGTTACCCAGCACCATTTCCAACATACGTGTATCTCCGCATTGCACACCACCATTACTATGCATGTAAACATTGTCATACCTCATACCCAGCGCCCGGCACGCCCGCAAACTCTCCACCACAGCTCATACTCCAGCAGGCCCCGTGCAACAACAGGATCTCGCCACTCCCCGGGCTGCGGGCATCACCAGGCTAGTTCATCATAGTCTGTCACGCCCAGGTCGTCTTGCTCTCCCAGGCCCCGTGCGTCACCAAGCCGCCTTACTCTCCCATGCCTAATGCATCACCAGGCCGCCTTATTCTCCCAGGCCCCGTGCGTCACCAGGCCGCCTTACTCTCCCATGCCCCGTGCGTCACCAGGCCGCCTTACTCTCCCAAGCCTAGTGCATCACCACGCCGCCCTTCTCTACCAGGCCTAGTGCATCACCAGGCCGCCTACTCCCCCAGGCTCCATGCACCACCACGTCGCCCTTTTCTCACAGACCCAGTGCATCCCCATCGCCTTACTTTCCCAGGCCCAGCCAGCCAGGTCGTCCAGGCCGTCCAGCAGACCGCGGACGGCGCGGCGGCAGGGCGCGCCCAGCGCCGTCCAGTTGAGGCCGGCGCGAATCTGCGCCAGCTGTGCGGCCGCCAGCTGACGCTCCCACACCAGCTGGCCGGGCGGCGCTCGCAGCCAGCGGGCCGTGGCGTTGGCGGCGCCAGCCTCGGGCGCCAGCAGGGCGGCGAGCTGGCGCAGGCCGGGCGCCAGGCGCGCTAGCTGATCAGATGCAGACGGAGGAAGGCGGCCGGCCGAAAGGTGGCGCAGCACACGCGCCAGGTCCGCCACAGCCGGCTCGGTGGAGTTCAGGTCTGACTGTACCACCAGGCAGGAGTCCGTGGAACCAGAGCTACGGCGAACATCCGTCAGATGGTGCTGGTACAACCATGCTTTCTCGGTGCAATGTATCGCGTATCGCGCCGTGTATTTCAGGCCACTTTCAGAAAACGTAGCACTGGACGCTTCCCCAAGACCTAACTGGTGCATCCGAGTCGAATAGTGTTTGCATGTCTCAGGGATTTTAACGGCACACCTGCCTGTATCTCGCAGCTGGCCTAACGTCGTTATCTGCTCTAGTTTGTGATGCCTAGCATCGAATCTTTAAGAACGCACCACAACGGAAGAACCCATAGTTTTGCTCGCGAGCGCGTGTCCATCTGTACACACCAACTCACGCTCGCCTGTATGTTCGTCCATACTTTCCTTCATCACAGTATGTCGGTCTCATTACGCTGCGAAGCCGGTCGTCAAACTCTGGACATGACCGTGTGCTCTTACCTCTTCCCCTCTCTCTCTCTCTCTATTGATCAACGTTTTTATTTTTTCGGATTTTGAAGTTTTTCAACCTCATCGAGTTGGGGAAGCAAATTGTGGTAATATCGCATGTTATAGCAAGACCCCAAGCCGATATGACATGCATGCGAACATTTACTAGAATATGCCTTTGGGAGAACTGCACTACTTGTTCGTATCTGTGCGCCGCTATGATCAGTGGCCGCAATAACGAAGAGCGCCAAAGGCGTGACTGGCCGGCCACCTATCGGAAGCTACAGAATCTCCGGCTAGTTAACGTTGACTGACATAGACATAGATTAGGTACATGGATATGGTTGACTCGCCCTGGCTTGACTTCCGGCCACAGTTGCCATTGTTCCGATGGCGTTCGTGTAGGAAATCGAGCACTCAATGTTCGTCTGTCTGCGCCTGGTGGAATAGTTACGTGCCAAACCGCCATTATCAGAATTAATTCCATTCGAATCAGATCTGTGCTGCGGAGTAAAAAGCCGACATCGAACAATGTGTGGCGAGCCCGGAATCGATAGTCGTTGGGACGCAGCGAGACAACCCAACACCATGGCTCTGCTGCTCTCTAGTGCGCCCCACCGTTATCACACACACACCTGAAAATGCACGTTGCAAGTGCATCGACTTTCACGCGCTACACTACATGATCTTCCCTTTGGTAAAGATGGTCCTGAGCGCCTGTAGCGGGTCGAGCCGCCATCCTTGTAAACCTCTGCAGCTTGAGACTGCCCGGCCCACCCCTCACCCCAGACACGGAGGGGTGGTTCGATGACCGACCCGCGCCCGCTCACCTGGACGTGGCGTCGGCGGCGGCGGCAGCACGAGCCACCCACACCAGGAGAAGCAGCGGGGCGGCCGAGCAGCGCATCATCGTGTCACTCACTGACGCCTGTCCACAGCTGACGCTAACGACTAAGTGGCCTCAATCAGTGCGCCCATCATCGGCAGCAGGTGTCCCCCGGCAGTTAGCTGTCGCTCGACGGCGTCCGCCAGCGCCCGCCCTCTCCCCGCAAACAACACCGTTCAGAAGGAAATTTATTGCGAAACGAAGAACGTCAGAACGCAAGACAGCAAAAGCAAATGACACGGAAGAGGAATAATGTAGCACGGGCGGTCAAAGCTGATGTTCTGGCTCTATCACCGCTCCACAAACACAGTGAAGGCGACTGACGCTATCACACCCTTACAGCTCGCACATTAAAACGTTTTCATAATGGGACTCAGGCTGGGTTTATTTTTTTATTCTTAAAAGGTTTTTCTGACACTTTCTGTTATGAGCTTTCTCAATCTCCCTAAGCGAGAGCATGTTTTGAGCTTTTTATAAAAAAGATGTTTTGTCATTTTATACATGTATCATCTTGATGGACAATGACTCGTACTTAGCTCTACAGAGCCCTCACTCTCCTGGAGGGAGTAGTTCTGGCCACAACAGAAAGGCGGCACCACTCGACTAGGAGTGGGGATGGGCGCGGGCGTGCCCGCACGCCCATCCTGCATCAACCAATTTGATGATATTCAAACGCTTCCACTCACAGAATCAGTCAGCGGGAGCACGCGCCGGCCGGGGGCACAGTTCACCCCCAGCGTGCCGTCTCCAATGGTTGCTTTTTGTTTTGCGATTTTTTTGGCAGTTTTCTCGGTGACGATAGGCGTGGAGCCTGCGGCTGGACCGCGCGCAGGGGATAGCGGGCGGCCGCCCCGGCAGCGCGTGCCACGGCCGGGGCGGGCCGCACAGGATAGGGAGCGGAGACAGCGGAAGGCGGGGCGCCGCCGACCGCCGCGCGCTGGCGGCGGCCGCGCGCCCCGAGGCTACGACGCTTGTGGCTAAGTTCCGAACCCCAACCGCTAACTAGTCGGCCGACGCCCACGACGGCGTTACATTTTTACATGGGTTTTCCCGTTTTGCTATTTTTTTACAGTCCCAGCGGCCGCCGCGCCGACGGACAGTCAGCGGGGGCGGCGCGCCAGGGGTTTACTCCTTAGCGCCAGTGGCGGCGACGGCGGCGGCGGCCGGGGCGGCGTCGGCCGCGGCCGGCTGCTTGGTCTGGTGCGCCTGCAGCACAGCCACCGCCTCGTCCACCTTGCCCTTGAGCGACTCGTGGTGCTCCAGCATGTGCACCAGCTCAGAGTTGTCGATCTCCAGCAGCATACCGGTCACCTTGCCGGCCAGCTCCGGGTACATGCGCTGCAACAGGGACGGAGTGCGACCGTCAGCGCTATCACGCACCGCGTTAGACGCATACACGGGCTACGGGAAAAGCTGTTACTTCAGTCATTTCAGCTGATGCTGCTACACTCAGCGCGACATTTAATGCCGAACGATACCTGAAAGAGACCCCTCTTCATTTTTACAACAGTCGACAAAAGCGTTAGGTAACTAGTGCCGAACGAAACAGGGATGTTCGCCGGCAGTTGATGTGTCAGCTGCTGACCGGCCGCTGGTCAGCTGACCGCCGTCTGCTGGCCCGACAGACTGGACCCTGGGACTAGTGGACGTCTGAGGTACGTCTGCGTACCCGGCCACAGCAAGCGGCGTGCGGTCACACTGCACGGTCCGCTACCGCCTCACCTGGATCATGGGGTAGAGCCGCTCGCCCAGCATCTGCTTCTGCTCCTGCTCGGGCGCCGCCGCCAGCATGCTGGCCGTCAGCGGCTCCTGACCCTGCACGCGCACGGCCGGCTGCGCCAGCGGCTGCGGCGCCAGCGGCGGCTGCGCCACCACGCCGCCCGCCAGCTGCTGCGGCGGGTTGCGCATGTTGGACGTGTACTTGTAGTTGGGACGCGGCTGTGCCATGGGGCCGGGCTGCGGGGCCATGGGGCGCGGCTGCATGCCGGCCGGCATGAGCGCCTGCTGGCCGGTGATGGGGCGCGCCTGCGCCTGCAGGCCGCGCATGACGCCGCCGGGCGCCGGCTGACGCTGCGCCTGGGCCCGGAACGGCGCCGCCATGCCCGGCTGCGCCTGGCCGCCCAGGCGCATCTGGCCGCCGGGCTGCTGCCAGCGCGGTCCCGGCCGCATCTGGTGCGCCATCTGCGCCGGCGGGTAGAACCGCTGCGTCGCCTGCGGCATGGTCGGCACGAAGTAGCCGCCGGCGCCCGCCTGGAACATGGGGCTGACTCCGGGCATGCGCATGCCCGTCATGCGCTGCATGTACTGGCTGGCCAGGTGCGCCTTGCGGTCCTCCTTGCGCTGCGCCAGCGCCACGTACAGCGGCTTGGAGGAGACGATGCGGCCGTTCATGTCGGTGACGGCCTTGGTGGCCTCCTCGGGCGACGAGAAGCACACAAAGCCAAAGCCGCGGCTCCGGCCGTCCTCCATCATCACCTGCCAGGGAGCAGGGGCACAGGCTATTGGATGGTGTCACCAAACACACACCGGTACAGGGGAAGTGGCGGACCCTCGTGGGCTTGTCCCAGAAATGTTGTTCCGATGCGTCAAGCATTTGATGGCCTGGCACAAAAAATGCCTCATTGCGCCATGGTCGCAAGCACTTGAAGGGAGTGCTCCACATTTGAAAATAGTGAAGCGAGCATCACATGATGCTCGCTTCACTACCTCACGAACGCTAGATATGAATGACTCGACAATTTCGTTTTGTGCTTGGCCTTGACCGCCGCATATCCAATGAAATGACAGGATTTGAATGGCGTTATTAGGGCATCATGGATACCTACGTGATCTTAAAGTCACGACGGAATAGTCCGCACATCTTATCTCCGCGGGCGTGTGGCTCAGAATCTAGAGCGGTTTAGGTCTTAAGAAGGGCAGGGCTGTAAGCTGCACTGAATGATCTCCAAGGTGACTTTTTTAGTAAAAAACACAAAAAAATACAAACGCGGAAGCGCCCAGTTTAACACTGGCTCACTGAATGATAACTATTCCCTTTCACTGTATGAACCTTTTTAACTTCATTTACAGCCCTTGTCATCTTAATTTTCTGGTAATCTTTCCGAACATCTCCATGCCAATGGCCATCAACTGGTAAACATATCAACTTCAAACGAATATTCGGCCACGTCAAGAGCACCTGTCCCGAGGCCACCACACGTCCTAACGCCGTGCACCCACCCTGGCACTGGTGATGGTGCCGAACTGGGCGAACTCGCGGCGCAGGCGCTCGTCGTCGATGCCGTCGTCCAGGTTCTTGACGTACAGGTTGACGCCCTGGTAGCGGTTCATGCGCTCCAGCTTGATCTGCTCGAACTTGCGCTTCAGCTCCTGCTGGCGCTCGGCCTTCTTCTGGGCGCGGCCCACGTACAGCGTCTTGCCGTTTATTTCTTTGCCGTTCAGCTCGTTCACAGCTGCTTCAGCCGCCTCCGGCTCCTCGAAGCTCACGAAGCCGAAGCCTGGCGCACGAGGGAGAGAGACGAGTTAGGCGGAGTTCAACCATGGCCGGATATGGCGCACGATGCTGCTGCTCACCATGAAGACGACAAACGATCGCAGCTCCCAAATGAATATCTTTGAGGCTGGGGAGGGGGGGGGGAGGGGGGGTATTACCACTGTGTCTTGAAACGTGCAAGCATTCATAAAAACAGGAAATGCAATGAACGTAAAAATATCGAAACACGCAGCATTCAGTTTGCCGTGATACGACTCGACCTCAACAGCGCGTCGCATTTCATGAAGTGAACAGGCGACGTTAGGAAAACATATCAAAGCCAACGAATTCCTACCGTTGTCCAATAAGCTGGAGAAACTCGCCAAAGAAGTGCAGCACTGGGCATGAGTGGTGGAATATCCAACCATTCTGATTTCTGTCAGCGTCTCGCGTCGCATTTCCCACCTCGCTGCATACACCCACCGCCTCGATCGGCAGCCGCTTCGTGTCTCGCCTCCTACCTTTGGCGGTGCCGTCCTCGCTGGTGACCACCTTCAGGCTGGTGATGGCACCGTGCTGCTCGAACATCTCCTTCAGCTTCTCCTCGTCCAGTTCGGTGCCGAAGTTCTTGACGTAGACGTTCGTGAAGCGACGGGCCTTCTCTCCCAGCTCCTTCTCGCGCTCCTTGCGCGGGATGAAACGGCCGACGAACACCTTCTTGCCATTCAGCAGCATACCGTTGACCTTTTCGATCGCCTCAGTGGCCGCTTTCTCGGTCTCGAAGTGCACGAAGCCGTAGCCCTTGGAGACGCTGTTCTCGTCGGTAGCCACGCGGCAGCTCATGATGTTGCCGAAGGCCGAGAACGTGTCGTACATGGCCTTGTTGTCGATCGTCTTATCCAGTGACTTGATGAAGATGTTGCCGACGCCGGAGCGGCGTAGCGACGGGTCCCGCTGCGACCACATGATGCGGATGGGCCGGCCCTTCACCACGTCAAAGTTCATCGTGTCCAGGGCGCGCTCGGCTGAAACAGACGGTGACGTCAAACGGATGCCACGCCGGGGCGGCGCCAGATTACGTTCCGCGAAGTGGTACAGAGGGGCCGGGAAAATCATGTGCGCTGCGTCAGTCCTCATTCCAAACAAAGACCCGATACTCCCATACAGAAAGTTGCTAAGGCTGAAAACGCCCAGCGAGCGCTCTAGCTTCCCAAAAGAAAGCGATGCTGACTACAGTCACCAGCCAGGAATAACAATACATTTCATCCGTGAAATATACAGAAAATGGTGATCAACTCCATAAAAGTTGCGACGCTTAGGGTGACGTGAACAGTCAGCAATCAAAGTCCGCGAGCACATGAATTAACTTTGGTTGTTTGGTCTCTCAGGAACTCAATTTCAGGGAATTCCAGCTGACAGTCGCACCAAACGCAGCCGCCATTCGCTATGAGCCCGCCTTGTTCGCACCAAACGCAGCCGCCATCCGCTACGAGCCAGCCTTGCCACGAAGGGCGTGGGAACTCCCCGGCCCCTGTCCCCCAGCCGCTCCCGCTGTGACGTCTGGATTTTCCCGTGACGTTAAGCCTCCACTTCTAATCACTATGCGAAAGGGGCGGTGTTATTTTCCGCTTTTCTGAAGAACTGTTCTGCTTTAAGCAACCTTACACTCTGGAATGGTTATGAACACATTTCGGATAAATCCTTAGCTCGGCAATGTTTGGAAAACGACGCGAATTGGCAGCGTCCGGTACGGTCGCTCAAATGATACGTGACGGTAGTTAGAAGTCTCGCTCTCCGAACGGATGGACTTTCACACTCCACAAGTAGTGTTTCGTGAAACACCGTCATGCGATTCAGCGAAATCTCCCGCCAGCGATACCGTGCTTTCCCAGCTCACACCTGGAGAGCGAAAAACAAGGAAATTCCGTCTAGCTCGCCTGCGGTGCTAGACTCGGCAAGACATTCTATCCGCTCTCTCGGCCGTGCCCAGTCTCTGTCGAGGTCCCAGCTCGGCGGCTGACCTCGGCCGACGGGACAGTCGCAAGGTGACCCAGTTCAGCGGCGGCCGATTACGGGCCCAGCCAGCCGGGACTGAAGGGCGCGTCGACGCCGGCCGCCGACGGGCGTGGTCCGTGTGCGGCGTCATGGCTCGCACCCGCCCATTCGCACCATCGCAACCGGGCGCGCCCACCGCGTCCGACGACCGCCGCAGACCCATATATAGGATGTGGTTTAACCTTGGCGTGGTATTTTCTCTCGCCACCGACGGTCTCATGGTCAGGCCGCAGACGCCGGCGGCGGTCCGTGCAAGGCTACCGAGCAACTGCATTCCGCTGCAACTATTCGGAGTGCTTTAATTACGCGACAGAACATTAGTCGCCGCATCAAATTATGATGCTACCTTCGGCCTCTTGTTTCCCGTAGGGCCACACCACCGGGAATAAAATCGCTCCTCTGGCAAAAACAAAACACAAAGCAAAACGAAAAGGAAAACCATATCGGACGGCAAAACGCTAAGTCCAACATTGGCCAGGATTGCTGCGTTTTTGGCGTCAGTTTTCGTGTATTTTTCCATAATCCGTTACGGGTGTTGACACAAGCACCGCTCTCGCCGGTCGGGGACGGCCCAGCCGATCGCCTCAGCCCTTTCCCAACCGGCCGAGCGGCACCAGGCACGGCTCAAGGTCGCGGCGGGCTGCTCAGTGTCCCGCCGCAGCGATTTCCTCGCGGCCGGCGACGGCTGCTGCGCAACAGCCGTCACCGGCCGCCTCTGCACGGCCCGACGGCGCGCCACCCGGCCGGGAGGCCGCACATCGAGCCGAACTGCACGCCCCACTGCCGCTCTCAGCTGGACATACAGCACGCTTACGGTGTGGAATCAGGTCACGGCTAAGCGGTAGCATTCAGGTCACCCCGCATCCTGATAGAACCTGGCAGAAACACCAGGGCGGCACACACAAGTCTTTACCGTGTTTTCATTACAGTTTACGTGTTCTTAGCATGAAAGGCAGCAATATCCCGAAGCGCAATCGCTATTCAAAACATACGCGGAGTCAAATTAAAATCCACATGCTCGCTACCCATGTGAACTTCTCGGAAGATAGACCCAGGTGTTGAGCCCCGGTCCACCCCGCCCCTCCTCACGCAAAACACGTAGGATCCAATGGTAAGTCTGAAGTCAGGCACCGAAACAAAGACAAAGGCGGATTCAAGGCTAGTGCACGCAGATGGCTCTCCAGTCAGATTATCAAAATGTTGACAATACCCACAGCAGGGCATGACGTGCCATCGACTACACCCCGAGTGATACACTACATCCTAAGTGATGTGCTTATCACCCCCAGCATTGTGCAGCGAAATAATGGATTTGTGCATGTGCAGACTGCCCCTCCTATCTGATCAACCACACTATCCTATGTTAGTCTGAAAACTCGTACAACTCTAGCAGTGGCCAACACCCCCCCCCCCCCCCCCCCCAGTTCCTGTGCTTTCTCCCGCACATGATGGAAAACCCTGCTTCAATCTGCAGTCACTTCTGGAGTATTTTGGTGCCAACATGCAGCTGTCCATGCAAGACAAATCGTTAAACAGAGCAAAACGAGAAGATGGTGGGAGCTGTGGCACCAGAGTTATATCAATATATCACCCACAATATATCCATGCCCTGATTCACAAAATGACAACATGCATGTAACTTAATTGTTTGTTATGCAAATCATCTAAGTTGAAATGGCCAGAAATATACATTTAGTCAATAGACAGTGTAATTTCCTCCTATCTGTGCCATAAGATTCTGCACACTCTTTGGCCTAATATGCCCAGTAGGGTGTAAATGTCTAGGCATCACATTTTTCTACTATTTAACAAGCATGCTTTCAACAAAACAAAAAAACAAAAAAACAATGATTTGCAGATGTCCAAATGCTCTAGATATTATGTCCAAGTGTCTGCAAGTTTCTAGATATTATGCCCAGTGTTGTCTAGATATTATGTCCAAGTGCTCTAGATATTATGTCCAAGTGTCTGCAATTTTCTAAAGAAACTAGCTATAACTTCATTCAACAACAGTTGGCATAGTTGCCATGACATGTCTCTTGTGATACACACACTTTGAATATTCTGTATTGGTGGCTTGGGTTCAAAGTAGCAGCTTAATTTTAACTTTCCTTTTCCCCACTAATTTTCTGTTTACAGAACCCCATCATAACTTTTTAGGCCCAGTGGTCAGAGGCCATGCTCTGGTGACCTGGAGCAAGGCTGTGCCCTTGGGGTGGGTCACAAGAGTATTGAAAGGCAGACTATGCCTGTGAGCCCAATACCACAGATGTTGGCTGGTACTGCATTCATCTGGCAGCAGGGCAATGCCTGGCAGCTATCACATACTGGGTACCATAGCTGCACAGCTGCACAGGGTGTAACAAATGCCAGTGTGAAGACTCATACCCACTGCTGATGCTTCGCCATTACAGCAATAGCATCTTTGATCCAGATTACAGAGGCTGCTCTAAAACAATTACAGCAATAATCCAGACTATTGGAGCAGCTCATTGTGCTGCATGAGACATGTGTTAAGCTACATTTGTGATCACTAAGATGTGCAAGACTCTGGGTCTGGCACAACATGCCTATTGCCACAAAGCCTTAAGGACATAGGCCACACAGTACAAGCCTGTTCAGCAGGTGATTACATCTCAGAAATGATGACTAAAATGGGAGCATATGAAATGTTGGAGGATTGTTTAAATAAAATGATTGTGTGCCAGGATGAAGAGTAAAAGTAACTAAGTCTAACTGTCTAAAAATAGGACCCCTGACCCAGTCTGCAAAAAATGTATTGATTAATGTATTGTATTATTGGTGTATTGATGTATTCGGTCTAAACTAGGACTGCATTTCAATTGTAACCCTGGAATCTTGTTTTCAAACCAAACTAACCAAAAAATTAATTGCAAGTTAGTTTAAGCTAAGACACATGTGCACACCTGGTATGCAGATGCATCCTAGCTGAGGCTAACTTGCAATTAATTTACTTAGTTTGGTCTGAAAGGAATATTTCAGGGTGACAATTGAAATGCCAACCTGTAGACCACATCATATTAATGGTGACCAGAAGACAGCAAAATTTGATCATCCTACTCTTGAAAATATCATTACTACAATCTCACAGAAGTAACAGCAATTGTAGCATATGAAAGTGTCAAAATATGGCCATTATCCTTACCTGTTGACAAGTGATATCTGTTATAAGTGAAGCATCAGGTGGAGAGCTCCTAATAGGTATGAACCCAAGAAAATGGTTGGGTCAGGTCCAGTTCAAGTTGGGTTGGATCCAGGGACATTGTAAGCCCTCACAAGCTCACAACATAATTTCTTTTGGGCTAACGATAATTTAATAATTTCACAACATAATTTCCCTCTGAGCAGATATGCCCAGAAAACAGAACTTGTGAGATCATGCACTGTCCATGGTGTTGGAGCAATGGTGCCCAATTAGTGGATGTGTGATGTTCAGGAATATTGTTCTGAGGAAGCATGCAATATACTGGAAAATTAGGACCTTGCACTGAGTTTTCATGTTATTTTGACCATACTCTTGGTTGGAACAGCAACATAGTAATTTCTTTTAAAAATAAGCTATCATGCACCAAAGCTGGAGCACACCAAATTCAGTAACTCACACCAATCTCCAGGATAATGCCCTCTTCTTAGTTTTAACCACCATCAAGAAGCATAAGACAGGGACATAATGCCATCAATTCGTAAATACAATATTGACGACCTCACAGGAACTTCATAGGTGTGGTCAAAGTATTTCTCGACATTACAACACAGCTAACATCTAACCCTGTATAAATGGCGGGCTATCAGCACAGGCAACCAACAATCTCCAACTTACCGTCAACCGGCTGCTGGAAGTTCACGTAGGCATATCCCAGCGAGCGCCTGGTGATCATGTCCCGGCACACTCTGATGGAAAGCACCGGCCCGGCCGTCGAGAACTTCTCAAACAGCATAGCTTCTGTGACATCGGGGTGCAGGTCCCCGACGTACAGAGACGCCATGGGGTAGTTCTGGCCTGCTGAGTTCATGTTTTCTTGCTGGGGTTCGGAACTAGGCCACAAATGGGTTTTTCTTTTACGATATTTTTATGTATTTTGTGTTTTGGCACAAAAATAGGTGAGCAAAGGGTGCAAGAACGCGGAGCGCCCCACACACCCCACTCACAATCCTACAAAGTAGAAAGTGAGCGGATGGCGGAAGCTATGGAACCTCGCCTGAGACATGCGCATGCGCAATACGGCCGACATTATCAATTCATAAAAAAGTAGTGCATCACGCTTGCAAGAATGTTTTGAGGCACTGGGTAGAATTGTAGGAAATTCGATATATTAAACACACTTGTGTTCAGTTTTCAAAAAGATTTTCAGGTGTGGTCTAAATCCAATTTTCCATGTAGAAGGAACGATTGTACTAAATAAGGACCGGGACAGGCCGACCTGAGGCCAGATCAAGGCCTTTAACAGCCACTGGCCAGATCACTGGTAGCGTATTAGAACAGACGTGGGGCTGGCCTGCTGTAAAACGAAAAAGAGTGGGTGGGTAAACTTGGAAGCCAGAGCTTGCATTTGAGGATGCTCAGATAAACTGCCTTTGACACAAAAGCGTGAAAATTAATGCGGGGTAATGCTCCGGGAGGGCTGGGGATTCCATACAATTGATTTTTGTGTGCAAGGCTTTTCAGAATGGCTGCAAGGTTACAGAGATGTATACAAGATACCGCAACGGGGGGGGGGGGGGGGGAGCAAGACACAGAATGGGCAAGCTCCACTCACAGATGCAGACCACCACCCATGGTCCAACAGCACCCGCGAAGAATCTCAGGTGGTGCGTGGTAGGACCGGTTGGGAAGCTGTTTACCTACAAGTTGTGCTTGAGGTGGAGTTAATTTTTATGACCGGGGCATTACCAATGCACATGAACTGGAAATCTCAACTCAATTCATCCCACGTACCAAAAAAGTCCGATTCCATAGCAAAATTTGTTTAATATAGACCAAAAACTAGCGCAGAATAATGTAATGGCAAATTGCAATAGGCACGGCGACATCGTTATCAGAATGTTACTTTGCGTCGGCCATCCATATCAAGCGATCCACACATGATGCACTCCGCTGGCCCTGACGCGGGGTCGTTGTCTGAGCACGCCACCATAAGCCACAATATCGCAACTGATCTAGCACGTTTATTGACCAATGCATTTTCAGCACCTGCAGAAACAAACCAGGCTGAACAAATCACACCGCCCATGCCCACGGCACGACAGACGGACGCCGGTGTCACAGACGGCGACTCGTTGCCGGCAGGGCGGGGCTAGGCGCCGGCGAGCGTGCCGCAACACAAAACCCAGCGGCCGCGCAGGCGCCAACGCCACGCGCCAAAGCAGCTCCACTCCAGCTACACACGCCTCGCGGCTAGGCAAATTACGAATGGCAACGGCCTACTCTACGCACTACAGTCAATGGAATGGCGAGACTAGCCTCATGGCGGGCAGCAACGCGCAATGATCGATCGATGGGTATGTGCATGTGCTCGACGCTGAAGCTACGCTGGGCCGCCGGAGCGGGCAGACGACGGGGGCGGGCGCCGCCGAAGCGGGCCGCCCGTTCACATCATCTCGCCGTCGTCCTCGTCGTCGCAGTGGCGGCAGAGGAAGGTGTCATCCTCGAAGTTGCGCGGCCGCTTGTTAGGCGGGATGCACATCAGGTGATGCCACCGGTCGCACTTGTCGCAGCCGATCCACGTCTGGCCCGGTCCCGACTCATCCCACGACTGCAGGCAGATCTCGCACACCGTGCCTGCAACGCGGCCCAGAGGAGCTCAGCGACGGACGGGAACGGCACGGCGCCCGTGGACGCTGACACCACGCAAATCATCCAGCTCTTCAGTTGGAATATAAAAAAATGACTGAATAATGGTAACTTCCTTTGCGTCAACGTGAATTCATTCATGAAACCACCATGCTCAAAGACGTGGCTTTGACAAACTGAGCAAAGACACAGATGATGCCAGAAAATGCCTCACTGGATGAAACAAAACATCAATCATGTCAATATCAAAAGGAAAGCCAACAAGCAGACAGAAGACGAGCAGGTGTGGACTGCAAGAGAGAAGCAGTGATATCTCCTGAAAGCCTACTCTCAGCACGCCGCGGCTGTCGCCGTCCCCCACCTACCTCCCATGCCGGCGGTGTTGGCTGCCGCGGCGGCTGCGGCGGCGGCGGCTGCAGCAGCGGCCGCCACAGCCGCTGCCTGACTCTGGCGGCCGCGCGGCCCCTTCTTCTTGGCTGGCTTGGGCTGACGCGGCTGGCGCGGCTGGGCGGGCGCGCGTCGCTGCTGCTGCGACGTGGAAGCAAACGCCAGCGGCTCGAGCTTCATGGGGCGCGGGCAGTGGAGTGCGCAGCCCTGGCACTGCGGCATCAGTGTCTCGCGGTAGCGGTTGTACGTCTTCTCCGGATCGGACGGCTTGATCATGACTGGCCGCGTGTAGGGCCTCGGTGTGACCGGCGGCGAGAAAGGTAGGATGCCCATGGTGCGGAACGAAGTGCGCAGGTTGGTGGAGGTCATGGCGCGCGGGTACGCCTCCGTCACGATCTTGGCGATATTGCCGCGGCACACCATGTGCGCGCCGTACTTCTTCATGTAGGCCGTCCAGGCCTCTGGCCAGGAGCCCTTCAGGCTGTGCGGAGAGGGGTCGGCGGGTCAGTGGTGGCGGAGCGGTGTCACGGACGCGGCGACGACCGGCCGCATCAGCACATAGGTTGAACTCACGGATGCCTTCCAGCCCGCGGGCGAGGCCACTCGGTATTAGCATGGTGCAGTCATCATGTGTAATGGGCAGCTCTACCTGTTGCAGTAAGCTGCTTGGGTGGCTTAAGTGTGTCAACTACCTTGGATTATTTGTGTCAGTAACCTGCTTATATTCAGTATCACAATGCATTTTAGTGTTTCAACTGGTGAAACAGAAATGCATGAAACTTGAAAGTCCTGACAAAACAACCTGTCTTCTATCCCATTAGTTGCTACTCAAATTCGAGATTGCATTTGCAATACACCATATATGAACCAAAACACAATGAGACTGCAACTAAGAAAGCCTACGAAAACATATTGACCACTATTTCCCCAATTCAGAAGCTCTCCCCTCATCTATCACCCACCTGATGAAGTAGTTCATATCCGAGCTCATCTGAGAGTTTGTGGCATATGGTGGCATGACAAACAGCACGATGCCCATCTGACGGGCCACATGGATAATCTGGGAGAAGATGTGTGGCGACTGGCCGTTGTAGAGCAGCAGTACCGGCCGCTCCACAGGGGAAGTAGGTGTCGGCGTGATACAAGAACTTCACCATGGTGTCCGAGTTCATCAAGCCGTTTCGGCGACACCTGCCGCCGAGGTACGTCCCGGTCAGCACGTCAACTCACGACCCGATCCGATCCCACGAAGCCGTCCCTTACACGTATCGTACTAGAGATGCCTTTGACTGGAGGTTGTCCTAAGTCAGATCCAAAGTCCAAGGATGGAGCAGCTGTCCATCCGAAAGTGTCCAACAAATCAGGTTGTCCAAAAATTTCCAAGCATTAAAAAACCCAAACCACCCCTACCCACAACCAATAATCCTGGTCACTGCATGTGTCGCTGCATTCTCCTACTTGAACCAAGCGAAAAGGAAATTATCATGGACTAGTTATGTGGATCACAGGCTTTCATGAGAACATCTACATTTCACATTGATGTCTACTAAGCCTTAAATATCACTTATCTCGACAATGGCTGCTGTTTACATAATGAGTTGCAATAAACTGTAACTAGGTAAGCAGTCAGCAACCAGGTTTCTCCTGAAGACATGAACATCAAAGCCATTTTTATCCACATTCTTTCTTAAAGAAACTTTCATTTCACATTTCAAAAAGAAGTATTCTCTAGTGTGCTCCATCAACATATTGTCTGTGTTTCAAAACCAAATTATTTTGAAAACCAGCAGCATTACTAGGTAAGGGTGCCTATCAATTTACAGCAGAAAAAAACATATTGGTGGTTCAAAAAATTATTTCCAAAGACTGTTGCCCATGTTTCCAATTTCGAAATCAAACATTCAAAATTTCTGGAATTCCAAAAATTTGGAATCCAACTGAAACCTCTAGCCAGTATCTCCCACCTCACATGGCACAGTATTGCTATACGGAGCAATCAGCGCCAACATGCGTTTGAAACAATACTCCACGCCACCACACCAATAACGTGGGAAGCATCGCCGTGGGAAGTGCATCGAAGTTTTGTTATTTTTCATGCATCTTGAGAACAACACGCAATAGCTGCACATCAAACTGCAAGCATGTCACCCATCAGCCAGTCGGGACTCACTACTTATCAAAGTGGCCAAGGCAACTTCACCCATTTACCAAAATTTGAATAAAGAAATAACCAGACAGTTGAACTACAACTCGAATCCAGCAGCACCACCGTGAACACCACCTGAGCTCTGGTTAAGACCACATCACGGCAGCGGATCACTCACGGCGCAGCCGGTGCCCGGGTAGGCGCCGTCCAGCAGCTCGTTCTTCTTCTTGAAGCCCTTGTAGACGATGAAGGGCGGCAGAGGGTTACCGTGCGCCGAGCCGCAGCCGACAACGGTGGTCATCTCGCGGTCCTCATCCTCGTCTTCGTCCAGCGACATCTTGGCCGCCGGCGGGAAGAGCACCTCGCCCTGAGTTGAGTCCCCGTGCCCAATCACCGACTCCTCCATCAGGAAGATGTGGTCTGGCTTGTCCTGTGGCCAAGAATGGGAAGGGGGGGGGGGGGGATGGAGGCGTCAGCACGGCGCCGTTGGCCGCACAGCCCGATGGCGGACGCATCGAGCTAATAAGCTGGGGCAGCAACACACAGCAATCACATCAAGAATGAACAAGTACAGTAAGCATGAGATGTCAACTACCATCCAATTCATTTATGATCAATATCACAATCAATACCAGTAACTAAATCTGTGTTAATACCAACAACACCCCTGAGCGATATGGCTAGTGTTGAAGACATGTCTGGCCCAATATGCTGGCAACCATGCGTGTGAGGTGGCAGCAGCAAACACACCTTGATATCATTGTCATCGAGCAGCTCCTCCAACCGGTAGTAGTAGTTGGCCATGGCCTCATTCCTGCCAAGGATCTTCCCAGTGGTGGGCACAACCTGAGGTGTCAGGACAGTGTCAGGCTTGTTGGAGGTAAATTGACCCATGTGCAAATTCTGGAGATCTTGCCAAACACTCACAGAATGTGGCATACTGAATATTGATCCACGATCCAACCTGACTATGTGGCTTGTCAATTACATGGCATTAGCCTCTGCCAGGCGAGTGATCTTCAACTGTTGGGTGAAGAAGGCGGAGGTGGCTTGTTTGTTCTGGTCTACGGATCAGTTAAAGCTGAGATTCAATCACTGACTGAATTTTATACTGGATTTGCAGCAACCAGTACAGGACTTGAGGTTTGGCGAGGATACCAGAATGTGAAAGAAATAACTACAAATGATAAACCTGTAGTGCTGTGCCATAACTCCCTGCATTAGTAAGATACTGAGTTCAAAGCATCCAATACAAACTCACTCTTGACCAAGAAAGTGTTTGGCAGTGACTGAAACCCAACAAGTCGGGCTTGAGAATGGCCGACTGTTTCGTGCGTCACTGACCTTGCGTTTCCTGACGGTCAGCTCGGGGCATCGCGTCATAAAGCGCTTCAGGTAGCTGCGGTGTGGCAAATCATCCTTGAAGGCCGACTCCTCCGGGTAGAGGTACTGCTGCACCTCAGCGATCAGCTCAAGGAACTCCTTGGTGCTGTAGCTGTGCCCCAGGTCGGACATGTCGGCGGCGTGTTTCATGACGCTCTGCTCGACGTCGGCGGGCAACGCCGGCGCTCTGCCTGGACGGTTTACCTTCACCTGCAGCACAGCACAGCGGCGGTCCAACACGCGTGCCAACGCAACGCCTTCACGCACCGCCCGTACGCCGCGGCGGCGCTTGCCTGCGTTTAGAAAATAGATAATAGGGCTGGAAATACACCTACAAGTTGTGCCGCAGGATGTCAGGCACATTATATAGCAATTTGTGTCATATTGCATTAATTTGCCAATTTGCAATGGGGGTGTGCACGTACTGCAACCAAAGGGCAGTACAGCATATGTAACCCATTGGACATAAAGATTATTGACTTAACGACACATTACCAAACTATGCACAAATTAACACCTGAGCATTGCTTTAATATGGTAGAAAAAATGCATTCTGTTCTTGCCAGAAATAGCTCAACAAACCAGATACAAACTGCATGATTTCAACTTGTAAAATCAGACAAATCAACAAAAACAATACCATGTTTAAAGATTTAGTCTGAGCATTATGATTGCATGAGTTTCTGAGAGGAGCAGCCAAAGTTATCCTGTGCTTGTCACATGAACACCAACCACACCATTAAATTACAAAATTCTGGTTCCAACGACATAGTTTTGTGGTGGGAATTCCTTAACATGTTGCAATCGTTAGCCCATTCCAACCTGCTCTCTTAGCACCTGACTTTTAGCAAAGCCACTACCACCAGCTGCAGGCCATTCCAGTCAGGGACAAAAAGTGAGTGCCTATGTGACTAGTACCCACCTCATCAGAGGTTGCCCCATTGTAAGACATGAGCTCTCACCAGCTAAGCTATCAGAATGGACAACACAGCCCTAAATGGTAACATGAAAACTTTAACAGTAATAAGAATACAAACTTTGGTAAAGCAGGTAAAGAGTATGGTATGGTAGTATGGTTATGACAAACCTATGTGTTAGAAGTGAGTTCATGATGTTCATCACTTGTATGAACCATAGGGAAAATAACCATGCATAAATGCAGTAGCACAAATAAAGGTTTTTCACATCTTTGACAAATTTGCCTTGATATTCTAAAAACAAACGCATCTCTACACCCAGCTACAAAAACAAAAATTCAAGGGTCACTTTTGCCCATGCCCTGTGACATCATGGCCATGCCTCCCCGCCCCTGACCTCCGGGTCTTTGAGATGTCGTCGCACCGTCGACTCGGGCAGGTTGAAGAGGCGAGACGCGCGCCGGCACGGAATCTCATCCACTTCCACTGCTTGGATGGCCATCTTGAGCCGCTCGACGCGATCCCAGCTCTCGTCTTCGCCGACCACGTCTTCCTGCTGCAGCTGCAGCGTCGTGTCGTCGCTGAACTCGATGCCGCCATGGTCCACCATGCCACCATGGTCCGCCATGCCGGAATGGTCGACCATGCCCCCATGGTCCACCATCACGGTCTCGTCCATCATATTGGCGTCCGTAGCTGGGGGAAAAAGGTGACCGCCATGAAAAATGTCCTTGTAGTGCTGTGACTGCCAAAGGAGATAGCACATTGACAAGCCATGTGTGCGCGAGCCAGGAAGATTTATTTTGCCGCTACCAACCGTTTTTCACCTTTTGAAACAACACAATGCTGTTTGGCACAACAATTATACTTTGTACAGTTGATGGCATGGACAAAAAATAATAGTCACATCCCACAAACAATCACCGGTCCCATGAAATAGGTTTGCCTGTGTTGCAGGGAGCACAGGCGAAATGCGCTCTCCCCTGCCGCCGGCCGCCAGAGGCCGCCAGCACTGGCGCCGGATCTTTTTCACGTTTTGCGCCATATCTCGGCAACCAGGGCATGTGGAAGCGTGAAGTAAGCTGCAAAACGTCCATAGCTGAAAATTTTCACATTTGTAACTTGGTTGGATGGATTGATGGTTTTAACATGGGATGACAGATTTGCTCTTTTCCCCAGTTTTAAACATTTTGTGCCACATCGCTTCTACATCCACCAGTGGCTGGTGGAATTCACAGATGACAAACACAACATGATGTGCAGTAAAGTGGGGATAATTTGAACAGTGCTGGTCACTTTGAATGGTGTGAAAAATGTCCAAAAAGGTGTGAACATTTTGGAATCATGTTCTTTAATTAAATCAATATTTGTGCACAGTAGTTGCACACAATGCTGCAAGCATGATCAAGCTACAGCTTGGAACAGCATTTAACCCCATTTTACATGCTGCACTTTCCAAGCTTTTCCAAAGATTTAATGCTTACCTTTTATAACAGAATTGTGTGTTTTAACCTGTATCCATGAAACTGAATAAAAATTGGATAGATGTTGCAATACCCTAATATAACATACTGTCCATTATGTGATAAACAGTTTCTACCACAGCACAGCCAAATACAAAGACATGATAAAACCCTCTGTTGAGACCAAAAACCCACCATGTTGCCCAGAACCACCAACCTGCAAAATCAATGAAGTTTGTGACAGTGTTTAAGATAATGTAACTGTTTTAAGCTGTCATTGAGTAAATGGACAGAATTAATCATACCAATGGCTAATCAAACCTTAAGACTGCCAACATCAGGTAACTGCATTCCTCACTTATCTCTTCTGAACCCAGTTCACATTGTGGCGGATGTATATTTACCTCGCATAGATGTATATTTACCTCGCAACATTCCTTCCAGGAAACTGGTTTGTGATCCCCAAACCAGGAAGAATCCAGCATCTAGCTGCTTAGTGAACTGACCATAATGTAACAACCTGGTCCACGTGACTCATTGTTATGCTTGCGCAACTATGTTCCACTATATATGCCTCATGACAAGTCAGCACTGCCATCAACTTGCATGAATTTACCAAGTAAACAACATCATAAACATGCATGACCTATCTAGTCTGTTAAGTCTGCAGCAAAAATGAATCTGAGCACTTAAAGCAAGACCACAAAATGATGGTTAAAACCATGCTTTGGTGACATGGTCTGGGAGCACCATGTACAACATGGGACCATGCATCAAGCATAAGTAGCCACTTAACATACATCAGGTCAGCTAACAACAGATAATTTTTACAAAACTGATGAAAGTAAGAACCCGACAGATTTGATAACAGCAAATTTGTCAAGATGCCTGGATCCAAGTGTAAGAACAATTTACATTAAATACCAAGGCACTGATTCTTTGAAATAAGTGGAGCCAACTAAACAAGAAACAACACTTTGACTATTCTATCTCTGAAATCATTCCTTTTGGCAGAAAAATGTCATAATGAGAGCCTTAGCCAGCGGTACCTGACATGTAGCACACCAACATTCATTGAACAAAGCATTGCATACTAAGTGTCCAACCAACATTGCATGTAATTTGGATTAACACTTGTAATTATTCCTTGCAATCCAAATGCCCATATTCAGCAGTGAAAAACAAATTTTGTACATAGGAAAACCAGCCACCAAAAACATGGCAACTATGACCCTTATCAATACCACTGCCCACAGTATTGTCCAACCTTTTCCAGTTCAAGAGCACTTAAGTTACCAAATAAGTATTATATTTGCAGCAACACAATGAAACTTAACCACATGCCACATGCACACTGGCCTAAATATTTCCATGTTCAGGTAGTGTTGCTATGCCTGAACATCAACAACATAACTTACTGATAAAAATGCAGCTTGGACCATTACAAGCATTCAGGCATGAGATATAGCAGCAAATGTCAGCATACGCCCTGTCAGTTCATAACCTCATAATTCACAGTACGTAACCCAAATCGCTACCACACACCTAACCAGAATGCCAATCAATACCATGGCACGTCCTTGGGACAATCTAATATGGCCACCTCAGGGATGGCAGCCATTACTGATGCTGCCCAGCAATTCTAGGAAATGGGGAGCGTATTGGCTGACTTACACAAGAACCCATTCTAATGGACGGCGCATATCACCGTCCAGTTAAATTGGATCTGACCAGGATAACCGAGGAATGATTCTGTATCGCCGCAACAGCGCAATGATCATCAGCCACAGAAGAAATATTTTCAAAATTGGCCCGGCACAAACCCGCTGCGTCGTTATCGTAGATAGCACTTGCGGCATTCGCTGGAATTACGAAAACAGTACACGATTGCAGACAGTCGACTCTGATGAAGAGCCTGCCATACATATATGCTTACCAAAGCTTGGGTTATGTCCCTAAAATTTCTCAACAGCTCCCGCCAGACCGGACTCCAGCCCGGAACCAAGATGTCTGCGTCATGTACGCCGTTTGCGCCGGGTACGTGTGAGTGGTGTTTAAATAAATATTCTAGGGTCATCAGCTCATGATTGTATGATATATTTTTTTCGTCAGAGGGTGTCCAAAGTTATAAAAAATCTGTGTAAAAAATTTGATCTTCATCTAAAGCCGAAATAGCAGGTAACATCATGTGGTATTAGAAACTATATTTGGTGTTCATCCGCCGACCTGCGTGCTAGAACATTTCCGTGCCGGAGCGGACAAGGCAGAAGCGGCGCGACAGGACTGCCAGAGTTTCTCCCGCCAAAATTGGATTCCAATTATTTCTGTCACTTAAATCATATATTTTATCGCTAGAGATGTTCACAACAAATGAGAATTTGGGCTTTAGATGGAAAAGTAGCATTGTTTATAACAACTGCATATTGTTGATATCGATTTTATGTTTGGACCCTGTTTTGGACGACGGCTCGCATGACATTCTTTGAGGAGCATTGGCTAGAACGGTCGATGATGGTGTTGTCCTCTGCAAGAAGAATCCGGTCGTTGGTCTACAGAGCCGTGCGGATGTGAGCATACTTTTCCATCAACCAGCACTTTTTGCTTTGGTCACGGTTTTTCAGCAAATTCCACATTCACTGAACTGCTTGAACTTCAATACATTTGAAAGCAGTGGTGCAGCCATGGGGGCTTGGGCTCCTTGGGCTCGTCCCCCTGCCCGCCAGGAAATTGTGTTTTATCCAGTATCAATAATCAATTATTCACGGAGCCAGGCTCAGTTTTGATGCTGTTCTTCCAGGTCGGGAAGGCCTTGGCCGAGTGCCGCCGACAAATCTAAGTTTTCGCAGGATAGTCCCTTGATTTTGTTATCCGTCTCGCGTGGTTGTTTTTCCCACTATAGCAGACAGAGATTTCCGCTTGGTATGGAAATTTATCCCCGGCGCGCTGATGTCGCAACGTCTGATGAAAGTTGGGGTCTCGGGGGGGGGGGGGGGGGGATAACTGAATATGCCAAACCTCGCTCTGCTATCGGCGGCGGTACGAACTCGGGCCCGATCACCCGGCGAGGCCAAGTTGCTTGTGGGAGGAGCGAATGGGTATTTGAGCAGTTAACGACGGTGATAGATCTTGTAAGTACTGTTACGAAGTTTTTGAACCTGACAGCGGAGGTTGATTGTCCGCTTTCAGCTTTAGAGCTTCATTGCCAACGCTGTATATGCATGGGCGTATGAACTGGGGGGGGGGGGGGGGGGTCAGGGACCATGCCTCCCCCACGCTTTTTAAAAGGGGGAGCATTGTTAACTCCCCCCCCCCACTTTTCAGATTAAGGCTGCATTTGGCTTACTTTTGAATTACATTAAACATGCACGTCGATTTACCTAGTTCACCAGCTATCTCCCTTAAGATGCGTCATCTTTTTCGTTTGCTCATTGGCCGTTGCTTAGTGTTACATCCCCAACCCCGGCGCTGTACCGCCTGGAGACGGCAACGCCGGGCGTCGAGCCTGTTGCTATCACTTGCGAACGCGCATGTTCAAGACCATATTACGTAGTAGAATCCCATTTCATGTACAATCTATGGTCAGGGAGAACCCAATATCTCTGAAGACCACAGGAAAACACGGAACTGGAGTCTATGTGACAATAATTGGACTATGCGGCGATCAGGGATGTTGCTGCATCAATCGGGTTTCCTGTGATGATCCGGGGCTAACTGCGCGGGTCAGAAGGCCTCCCGTGTCAGGAATGGGAACAATGTGATTTGCTATATCCTTCTAATGGTTCACGGATCGACCTGGAGATCCCGCCGTGTCACCAGAATGATAGTCAGAAGACACTCGTGGTGGGACGGAATGGCCCTTCAGCCCTTGACCGGAGGCGGTAATATACCCTTGGTGTTCTACTCAAGAGGCCCCTTGCCCAGGAGGAAATAAGGGGTTTTATTATTGATGAGCAGAGTGGGGGTCTCATTATTGTTGAAAAGGGTGGGTCGAAATGAGCTGAAAGAAAACGAGCAGGGTCATGCTATGTTTGCCTGAGGACGTTTATTTTTCAGAATGTATTTTTGAAGCAAATTACATCAAAAGGCTTGAACATGCCTGCCTGCTACCTCGAGAGCAAGGACAAGGATGGTCTGGGTTGCAACTTCCGTAAAACCGAAAAGTTTCGGCCACTGCAAGTGCCACCAGACGGGGAGCACCGTGTTCATCTGTTTTCTGGATAGATAAATAGCTGCAAAAACACAAAATAGAGATCCTGCTTTCACTCTTCCAGTTCAACCACCAGATTCCAGCCCTATCTCGCGGTGCTTTAAGGGCCAATCCGTTCTTTTCATCAGTATAAGAATTGCACACGTGAAATATGCACTCAGCCTGCCCTCCAAAGGTAAGATCTGATGTCGTGAAGCGTTCAAGGATAGTTATTTCAGAAGCGTCGTCATTTTCGTCCACCCGTTGGTCACAGCTTAGTATTACCTGCTAGGCCGACGCTGCGCGGCCTCCGGAGACTGCAACGCCTGGGGAAGGGGCTTGTGTATCTGAGATTTTCGAGTGCGCATGCTCAAAACAGCGTCACATAACTTGCGTTACCAGCCGAATAAAGTTTTAAAGATAATCATTTCAAAAACGTCATCATTTTCGTCCACCGGTGGGCCACAGCTAGGAGTTAACTACTGCGCTAACGCCCAGCGGACTATGGACGACAACGTCTGGTGTCGGGTTTTGTTGCTGAGATTTGCGGGCGCGCATGTTAAAAAACACGTTACATAAATTGTATCACTAATCGCCTGACTGAATGGTCAACATTTTCAGACAAACATGGCTTGGCTACGTTAATACACATTGTTGACTACTCGATCTGCCGTCAAATCATCATCTTCAAATTTGGATCAAACATATCGATCTGCAATCTACTTTCGCGATGTCCTCAATGTCTGTAGAACCCGGACAAAACAATTCTTACAAAGGTTCTGAATTCTTTCGCCTTAGAAAGAGTCTACTAACCATTTTAAATTAGAGCGCCAGTGATTTAATTCATGCAGTCGTTCAACGCCTTATTTCAGCAGTTGATTGACCTCAAAATACAAAAAGAATTGAACTCGCGGGAGCTCCTGGTTTCTGTTCTGGTTACGAGATAAGAATAACATTAAGACGAAGAAAACCGTGTCACTTGTTCACAAGTAAGCTATATCGGGGATATTTGGTGGGGGTCACCATAAGATGGCCTTTTGTCAACCTTGTGTTCTCCATTGGCAAGGCCCTGGCTACGCCCCTGCCTACATACAAAAGCAGATCAAGTCGTATACGTTGCATGATGGACAATGAAGCGTTCGTTGGGCTAATGCGTGCCTAAGGCAGGACAGCTTCCCGGAGGTTATTTTTCTGAGATGGTGTGTTGTAAGGGAAGATCATTCGGAAAAAGTTGCTGTTGCAGGTGTCCAATGCATGTTTCATACACCATGTAGTAGTAACGCTGATCCAAAAGTATGCAACAAAGCATCCATACGACCAGTTCACAGTCAGCCATGCGGGAGATATCCGGGCCAGGGCCGTGGCCACCGACGGCGGACAGTAGCAGGGCCCAGATAAGGGACAGATGGCAGATGGGCCTTATTACGTAGCTTGGTCCTTAAAAGAAAATTTCCAGTCTTATGGATTTTTTCACCTTGTTTCTGGCGGTTTCAAGTTACCGGATTTGATTCTGCCTAAAATGCTGCTACAAGTCTTATCTTTTGAAGAGCAGCCAGCGAGATGAAGGCGCATGGAAAATCTGTCGCACTGTGAGCCACCGATCCACTTCCAAAATTCTCACCAGCCGATATCCAGGCCGTATTTCGGCATCTACACTGTGGAGACAGATGCTCAATGACCCAAAATGCTTACCCGCTCGTGGAATTTCGTCTCCCCAAGAAAAACAATGTTAAAATGAACGAATAATCTTGGAAAGATGGATAGCCTTATTTGCCAAATGACACATGAGTCGAATAGGCAAGATTGTGTACCAGTGAAGAACAGCTCTGGATGCATAATTAGCATAGCAACCATGACATGTGATTAAAGAGCCATAACAACCACCACCCGTAGCCCTCCCCCCCCCCCCCCCCCCGGTCATCAGGCTTGCTTTCCAGAGAAAACTACTGAAGTACACCCTGAGTTTGTCCCAACCCCCCCCCCCCCTCCACTTTTTGGGGCGTTCCTACGCCTATGTGTTTCTGTAAGTTGCGAAATTCCCCGTCCAAATTACGCTGCTCCCTGCCTGTGTAAGAGAGTAAGGGCTATTTTAAGGTAACTTTTTAGCGTAAAAGTACTAGCTGGTCATGCACACTTAATGAAAAGTCTAAATTACTCTCTCTCTCTCTCTCTCTCTCCTCTCTCTCTCTCTCTTCTCTCTCTCCTCTCATCCTCTCACGTCCTCTCTCCTCTCCTCTCTCTCTCTCCATCGCTCTCTCTCATCTCATCATCTCTCTCTCTCCTCTCTCTCTCTCTCTCTCCTCTCTCTCATCTCCCTCTCCTCTCTCTCTCTCTCTCTCCTCTCTCTCTCTCTCTCTTCTCGTCCTCTCCTCATCTCTCTCTCTTCTCTCTCTCTCTCTCTCCTCTCTCTCTCTCTCTCTCTCTCTCTCTCTC